GGGAGGTGCTCGGTGCACGACGCCTCTGGCCGGCGAACAAGCCTGCTCGGGGAAGACCAGGGCGAGGCGAGGCGGAGGCGCGGGCGGCGCCTTTCCTGACGGGGTTCGGAGGGAGAAGCCGGCCACGCCGCGCACGCACGCCCCCGGCAGCAGCTCGTCGAGAACAGCGCCGCTGCAGACGACCGCGGCGTCGTACTCTCGCTCGACAGCGCCGCCGGCCTCGCCGCCCGCTCCTGCGCCGCCGCCGCGCCGCAGGGAGCACGCGACGGCGCCGCCCGCCGCCCGCAACCGCTCCACCCGCACGCCGTACTCGAAGCTGGCCCCTCGCTCTGTGGCCAGGGCGGCGAGGGCGGGCAGCAGGGCCTCGCAGTCGCACCACCCGTCCCGGCGCGAGAGCGCCGCGCCAAGCAGCGGCTCCTCGAGCGCGAGAGACGGCTCGAGCGCTCTCGCGGCCGCGGCGTCGAGGAGCTCGTACCCGCCTCCGGGTTGCGCGCGTCGCAGCTCGTCCCACAGGCGCGCGCTCCGGACGACAAACAGCGCACCGCGGTGCACGTGCGGGCCCAGCCGCTCCCCGTGCCGCGCGAGCACAGCAGACAACGCCTCGCGGCAGTCCGCCTTGCTGAGCGGCGCGGCTGCGGGCAGGCCGACGGCCAATTTCCTCAGGCGCGAAGTGGCGAGGCGGACCCCGAGGAGCAGAAACCGCAGCCAGTGACGCAGCCTTGAGCCATGCGCAGGCCGCACGACGCCCTGCAGGGCTGCGCTGAGCAGTGTCAGCGGCGTCTTGTGGATGTTGTCAAAGAGCATCAGCGAAGCTCCGCCGAAGCTAGCGCCGTGGCCCGGGCCTGCCGCCTCCTCGACGACGTCGACCTCGATCCTCGTCGATGTCGTGTGAGCCTCAAGCCGCTCGAGCTCGTCGAGGATGCCGATGGCCGTGAGCGCTCCAGCGATGCCCGCGCCGACGACGAGGACACGCCGAGGCGGCGGCTCTTGTCGGCACATCGGTTGCACACACAACGAAAGAATTTAACAAAAGAAGTCTGTCTCACAGCACACAGGCTCGACACAGGTGCGAACTGGCGCGTGCTAGTACTATCACCGGCACACCAACGAAAGAATTCTACTCGATTAAGCCTCTCTCGAAAATATCACCACAGGCGTCGTTGGCGCACATACTGAGCGGCAGCTGCGCTGGAAATAAGGAAGACGCGCGTCACTTCATGCGGAAGCTTGACAAACACGCGGCGAGGGCGACAGCAAGAGTCGAACGGGAGGCGCCGGACTCAAAAGACACCGCCACATTCCTGAGACGCGCGAGGGCAGCCTCCTTAAAGGCAATAGGGTCTAGATTTGGAGGATTGGAGCGCTCACCGAAGAGGAGTACGACAAAATTAGGTGCCCTGTAGGCTTGGCTGCAAAGGGGATTTACCCCCGTCGCCCCCGGGGGCCCGTCGACTACCCAGGCGCGCTGTCGGAGGATTGTTTTGACCAGTACTCACCCCCAGCATGAGCATGCTAGCCTCTCAGTACATGCACTCTCTCTTCCTCACCCCGCCCCCTTCCCATTCCGCAGCCTCGAGTCCGGAGCCCACCACCCATGCCACCACCACGCCTCTCGCGCTTTGCAGCACTCTGCCTCGCTGTGGCGCGCCGGCAGTGCTAACATGCTAATCCGCATCCCGCTGCTGCTCTGCTGCAGCCTCCAGTCGCGGTGCGGCCTCCGCACTCTCGGCGTTCGCCTCTCGCCCTGCTGCAGCATCCGTGCCCATCTCTGGCAGCCGTTCGCCGAGCGCCTCCTCAAAGCATGCGAGAACCTCGTCGCTCTGAAGGCAAGTCACGAGGACGTCGTCAACCGCGCGGAGGCTCCCCCGCAGGGCCGCCGTCCGTCGGTCAAGGTCTCGTCTTAGTTCTGGCAGCGTCGGCGCCGGCCTGCTCCCACGCTGGCCACGCACATCATGCTGCGCTTCGCGAGCAATCGCGTAACGGGAGGCTCGCTGGCTTTTTGTGGCTTTTTGGACGGCTTTTTTGGCTTCCCGCCCTCCCACCCCTCTCTTGGATTTTTGTTGTGCCGACTTCGATCTTCGTGTGTGCTCCGCTTCTGAGAGAGAGATTTTGAGACATGAGAGAGAGAGTCAGAGAGAGAGAGAGAGAGAGAGAGAGAGAGAGCCGAGATAGAAAGAGAGATTTTGAGTGAGACGGTTTAGAGAGAGAGCGAGAGAGAGAGCGAGAGAGAGAGAGAGAGAGAGAGAGAGAGAGAGAGAGAGAGAGAGAGAGAGAGAGAGAGAGAGAGAGAGAGAGAGAGAGAGAGAGGGTGGGAGTACATTTCTTTCTAATTTTATTTCGCCTCGAGCTGTGCTTAAAAAGTTAAATCTCTCTCTACAACCTCCAATCCCCGTCCTTGCTTGCGTCCCCCCATGCCGGTGTGTCCAGTCGCTGGCCAGCCTCTTCTAAACCAACACTCCCGTTTCCCAAGAAAAGAAAAGTCCAAGCCTTCCTCGATTTCCGCGAGCGGCGTCTCACAAAAAGCCTAGCCGTCCCGGCGCAAGAAAAGCCTTGCCGCCGAGCTGTCGTTCCTTCTGCAGGCCGCGTGCAGCGACGCGCGAGTCCTGGCGGCGCAGCCGCCCCGCCGTGCGGACCATGGCCAACCAGCCCGTCGACGCGCCCGACGACGTGACCTCAGCCGGTAAGTGTCGAGAGCGCCCCCCGGCCAACGGCGCACCCCGCCGCCGTAGGTACTCGAGGTGCTCGCCCTCCAACGACGCCGCGGGGGCGGAGGGCCGCGACCCGCTGGGCCGGCTGCCGCCCCCGCGCCTGCCGCCCCCGCGCCGCCCCCGCGCCGCCGTCGGCGGCGTCCAGCGCAAGCGCCGCCGCCGCGTCGCGCGCCGCGCGGGCAGCCTCGACGGACCAGAAGCCGTGCTCGTCGTACCCGGCGTCCCACACGCCCAGCGAAGGGCTGAGTGCCGTCGCGAGACCTCGGCACGCCTGCGCACGCCTGCGCACGCGGCAGAGCGACAGCAGCACCACCCTCGTCGGGCGCCCACGAAGCGTACTCGCGGGTCGCCGCTCCGTCGACCGAAGGCCGAGACACTTGCTCCGACGCCACCCCGCCCCCGCCCCGCCGGTCCGGCACCGATATCTCGGAGGACGACCTAAGGAAGAGCGTGGCGGCGCGTCGCCGGGGGGCGGCGCGCTCGTGCTCTCGCCGCGAGATCGAGGGAGGGGGGGGGGGGGGGCTGCGCCGCGGAAGAGCGCCGGGGCGAGGGGTGCGTGTGCGCCGCCCGCGGAAGAGCGCGCGGGTGAGGGGGGGGGGGGTGCGCGCGCGCCGTCCTGCAGCGTCGCCGGCCGCAGGCCAAGGAGCTCGGCTCCTCGAGAGCACCGACGGACGACGATCGGCTCCTCAGCAGTGGGACGCCGAGCTGGAGGCTCGGCCCGGAGCTCGCGCGGGCACGTGGAGCTTTCCGCTCGGGCCAGCAGGAAACGGGCGCCCCGCACAGCGACGCCCGCCGTAGAGTGCCGAGAGCTCGGCTCGACGCGAGCGCCGAGGAAAAGCGATCGGCTCCGCAGCAGTGGGACGCCGAGCTGGAGGCTCGGGCGGGAGCTCGCGCGAGCACATAGCAAGGTGCGTGCGCGGCGGCGTGACACAGGTGAGCGGGCAGCTGGCGCACATTTCGGCTGTGGGAGCTGCCAGGAGTTTGCTCTCTCCGTTCACACCCCTTTGCAGAATAGCGCCCGTGATTGCCTGCACGCTACCCGCACTCACGGACTCCATACCCGAAAGAAAGAGAGGGGAGCTCGCGGGAGAGGTGACGAGTGAACTACAGGTAGTGGGGAAGGCAGCCTCGATTGCCATACAGACATGGGTGCGAAACAACGACAAGACCAAGGCACGGGCAGAGGAACGAGAGAAGAATATAGGGTGGATAAAGCGCCTGTTCACGGCATGGAGGGTGAGCCACACCGAACGTACCGAGCGAAGAGCCGAGCGGAAGGAAGCCGGGGAAGATGACTCCGAGGAGGACGAACCAGTGGAAATCCAGTTGTCAGATGTCACGATGCACCCGAAGGGGACCCCAGCGCCGGCCCGGCATCATCCGTAGAGGCACGAGTGTTCGAAGAGAGAGTGGACCTGAGCAACGATATGACTTGGCGGCAAATGATCGCAGTGGGCGTCACTCAGAAGAGTCGTCCTTGCGCGAGGAGAGCTCGATAAACTCGAGGGGCCAAAATATGCCGCGAGGAGGGCAGAGTTGCGCCGAAAGGCGTTGTGTCCAATCGTCCCAGTCTCTCCGTTCTCCGATTCTCCTCCTTGCCTCGCGCGCCTCTTTTGCGGCCTCATCCCTAGCCGCCTTGCACGCTCTGCATCCCCAAAACGCACTCGGCGGGGCCCCTCATTCCCCGTTTCTTTTCCCCTTCTAGAATGCGCCTGTGGTGTGCACCGTGTGGCACCCCGACCTGTTGTCTCACCCTGGCTCCCAAGATCGTTTTGGTCGTCACATTGTGACCCCCGACGTCGTCAAATGTCGCTCGCCTGTCCTTCCCCCCATTCCTCATCTGGCAATCTCATCTTATTGTCCCATGGGTGTTTGAGGCTGGCTACGCCGCCACTTCGCTCCACAGCCGTCCCGCCACCCCTGCCGTGTGTGATCCCGGCCTCACTGTCTTTCGGAATTGTTCGCACACCCACTCGTGCGCGCTCTGACACATGTGCCCGTACGTCCGTCGGTCCACTATCTCCCTCTTCTCTGTGTCCTCTGCCGCCTCCCTTCGCACCGTGTACATGCATGGCCGAGTTCGCACTGCGTCCCGCACCACTTTTGAGGCGTCCTCCGTGTCGTTATTTCCGAGGTATCCTGTCGCCACCGCGTCGGCGTACGCGTTGCAGGCTATTCCCACGTGCGATGGCACCCACACAAAGACCACCGCCTCTAGCTTCGATCTATAGTACGCTATCGCCTCTAGGAGACCGTCCCAGTCCCTCAGGCCCTCAGGCATCCCCTTACGGTGCGCATTCTCAATCTGCTGCAGCGCGGGTTTGCAGTCGCATAGTACTAGGCACCGCCGCGCCTGCGCGTCGCTCGCGCTCGCCATTTTGCGTAGGTATGCGAGTGTATCGCGTACATCTCCGCATCTATCACCTCCCACGTGCTCGGCAGCTTTCCTCCCCACATGCCCGCCCCAAAGGCTGTCCGTATCTCCTCTTCTCCACAGGGTCCGATTCCGTTGGGATCTTTTACCTGTGCGTCTCCCGGGACGCGCTTCCCGAATCGCGTCGGTCCTTCGAACACGCCGTACGCCACCCTAGGGTTCGGCGCGTACTTTTGATCTTCCGCCATTTTGCCTTCATGGTCCTTACCACCGTCCGTCGCCGCCAAGTGTGTGAACTGGTGTGAGACGTGCAGCGCGAGACATGTCTGCGCTACTTTCACGTTCAGAGCTCGCTCGTCCCTTCCCCGACTTGAGCGGCTCGCTGTCTTTTCCCATCTTGATTTGCGCTCCCTTGCCGTCTCTCAGCTCTCCCCCCGTCTCAAACTCGTCGTATCGAAGCAAGAAGCGCGTTAGGGGGTCCTCCTGTAGCTCCCCTACTCTGATCGCGCTCGCCCCGTGTCCGTGCGCCGTGCCCCACGAACAGCTCGTAGCCTTCGTCCTTCCAGTTTATGTGTCTCTGGGGCGCCCCCTCTGGGAACAACGTCTCCCCTCCTGTCGCTCCCTCTCCTGTCTCTCGTGCCCAGTGTCGTTTGACGGGCGTTTCTTTTTTGCACAAGACGCGGTCGAAAAATTCTTTTTTGCCCGACCAACTACGAGGAGCCCGCCGCGCCTGAAGGCCCTCATCAGCACCTCCCACCTTGCCGCCAGCCACAGCTGAATGGCCACTCCAGTGACCAAGGCGAATTACGCCCACGCCGAGACGGCAGTCATCCTCAGCGACTACGTCAAGAAGATCGCCAAGGGTACCGGCAGTGGTGGTGTCGGTGTCATGCTCCATCAACGCGCCGGCCATGACCCTGACGATCGAACAATACTGCGTGCGGGCAGAATAGATGGATAGGGAGGCGAAGCAGCAACGACTGGACGCCGGCAAGGCATGAGAGACCGTCACACACGGAGCACACCTGGGCTTGGAAGGAAGCCACCTGACGGCAACCTGGGGCATGAGACACAGTCACAGTCCCGAGAGCGGCCGCTCTCACAGAGAGTCGTGGACACGTGTTCACGCGTGCCCCTGTGCACAGGCCCGAACTTTGACACCATGTATTCGTTCGCGGTGCTCGATCTCACCTGCGCGGCAACCGTCGTGCTGCCGCAGACCGAGCGGTACCAGATCTTGGAGGTGATTGACGAGGAGCACTGGATCCCGCTCATCGCCGCCGAGCCCGGCCGGTACGAGCTCACCAAGGAGTCTGTGGGCAGCCGGTTCGCCTTTGCGTTTGTGCGCACGCGGGTGAACATGCAGGACCCCGCGGACCTGCGGCTGGCGGCCGAGGTGCAGGACGGGATCGCCGTCGAGCAGGCCGAGCCGGGCAGCTACCAGCAGCCTCTCACCTACGACATGGACGAGATCCTTGCCCTGCGCAAGGCGTACAACGAGCGGAAAGGGAAGGAGGGCGTCACGTCGGAGATGATATTTGGCGCGCGCGACTGTGGCGCGACTGTGGCGCGAGCGGCGTGTCTCTTCACGCCCCTCGCTGCAAACAGGCAAGAAGGGCGAGCTCTCGGAGGAGATGCGCAACTTTGGCGTCGCGGTCGGCTGGGGCGGGCTGCCGAAGGAGGGGGCCGTCTACCCCTTCCCCGACGCCGTCGACTCGACCGACCCGCACACGCTCACGCTCAGGGACGTGCCCAATCACCCGCGCGCCTTCTGGTCCGTCACCGTCTACGACGAGGACGGCTTCGCCCGCGGGGGCCACTACAACGTCAACTCGGCCTTTGCGAAGCCGGACGCGGACGGCGCCTTCGTGATCCACTTCGGCGGCGACCAATCGCAGCCCAACTTTTTGGAGATCTACCCCGGCTGGAACGTGGCGCTGCGCATCTACTCCCCGGTGGGCGCCTACTTCGATGGCAGCTGGACCTCGCCGCAGCTCAGGCGCTGTTAAGGTGCACCTTAAGCCGCGCGCTTCGCGCTCATGGGTGCTCCAGTGGTGATTGGGGGACAAAACCCTCTTTTTTGCCGCCCCGTACTTGAGCACTTGCCGTCGTCATCCATCAAAAATAAGCAAAGAGAGCAGCCAGCCCACTTGGAGCACTTGGAGTGCAGTCAGCAACCGCACATCCAGGGCCGGGGGGCTAAGAAGCACACCCAGCGGGCCAGATGATATTGGCAACGGGTTGCGCGCAGCCCCTGTTTTTGTAAAATATTTAAATATCTGAT